AGTCCATCTGATTTTCATCGGTGATCGATATTGATAACAGATGATGATCATATAAAATTGCGTTGTCGTCTGATATCTGCGTTTTTCTGGTGTTTTGTCTTTGTGTCTGATATGATCACGATTTGGGTTGAAAACTATCCACAAATGGGGTTCTTATTGTGATTTGGATTTCCACTTTCCGGCATCAACTAATTTTTTTTTTTAAAATGTGGATCTGGCTTTTTGGTATCAACTCATATCAAATCAAATGAGTCAAATGAGGAATAGAGGGAGGAGTTTTCTAAATTCGTGGGTGATTCTGTTGAAAAGGGATGTCACGTGCTTAACCTTTTTTTTCTGTACCAGTCGTGGTATGGAATAAATTTTTTAGGTTGCGAGTTGAAAATTTTGGGGTACAAACAGGTACAAACCGGTTGAGAAACAGTTAACGGACGTTGTTAGAGGGATTAGCAGGATGGTATCCTGCTATTCGATATCTCTCTTAGATCGTAGTACGATACTACGATACTTCGTACTGTACTTCCTGCTGAACCTCGGATGGAATATGAATTTCGAATTTCAACGCGTTGCACACACACTCTTCTTCTCCATTGATTTACGATTTAGTCACGTATCATCTGCTAAATATCCGTTGAAATTTTTAAAGATTTCATAAGTATTGATGCACCTCCTGATATGATAATTCTTCAAGAAGCTTCAAGAAGAAAAAGAAGAACAGTGTCTGATAATCATGTCTGGCATGGGTAGGTACATACATACCCGCCACAACCAATCGGTTAGCATGAAACGTCTGGGCTCTCCCTTTAGTCTTTCTATTGGGTCAAATACTTGCACCATACCGTCACGTTGCTGAATCTTGGATCAAATACCGTCACGTTGTTGAATCTTGGATCAAATACCGTCACTTTGTTGACCCATTCATACGGTACAATACTGTATGGGCTCTTCAATGAGTGACGTACGATTTCATACACGAGTAACTTGAAAATTCGTATCTCTAAACAATAAACTTCAATACTCCTTGTACTTATCAAACTATTGACAATTCTTATTTTTCGAACGATTGAGAACTATTTATTAATGTACAGTAATCGACAATTATGGCTTGGTTGGTAGTGAAAAAAGTTGTGTAGAATCTTGTAGAATTTGTACCAGGACACAGAACTGTGTTTGGAAGCGAGCAAGAATTTTTGTTCTCTTTTCGCTCACGAACAGGACTTTCGATACCGTAACAGGTGGTCTTATTTTTTATTATTTTAAATTTTGTGTATCAACTCCGAGAACAGCGGGAGCATTTATTTTAATTCGGAAGGTAAATTTGAATAAAGAACAAATGACAATGCTCGAAGAAAACCAGCATCTCGAATCAGAATCATCCGGAAAAACTGAAGATCCCGAACAGGCTCCCGAACCTGTACCTTCCGGGACGAGGGAAAATCCCAAACAGGAGACGGTCGTGTTCCGGTACCAGATAGACAGCCACAAGCTCGTAGTAAAACCCGAGAAATGGAGGCTCTGCGCCTATGGCTTTTTCTGGACACTGGCCATCTTCGCAATCCTCCTGACCAACTTGGTGGTACTCAAAGACGGTATGGTGACTCCGGAAGCAAATAGAGCTAGAGAGCAGCAGGGATGCGATGGATTCGATTTCTACGAATCAGAAGCATTCAATCTTGAGTTTGGGGAAGCATTCCCGCTCAACCAGTCGCACCTCGTACGGACATTCGGATTCAACAATATTTGCATTTATTGGGACTATTCGCCCTCCCGCGAAATCATGGCAATGTACTTTCCATTCTTCGAGTACTCCCTTGTGATCTATCTACTCCTAGACTTTTTGAGCACCATGCTTTCCTACAAGAGGGGAGAGCTCCCGCGGTGGTACTGGAAACTGATGCAGGTTATCACTCCCATCAACATCTTCCTCGCCGCCATGTTCCGCATGATCTTTGTCTGCATTTCCTACAAGGCCACCAAGCAACACGCGGCTGCATTCCTCGGCTTGCAGATCGTCCTCGTCGTCGTGGCGGTTACAAATGCCTTGTACTGCATGCTAACTCGCCAGTCCTACAAATTGGGACGTCTCGCGATCAACGAACGAGGCGTCCACATCTTCTTAGGGATCTACCTGACCCTTACCCTTCTGATTAGCATGGTGAAGATCTTTGGCACGCTCGCCTTTGTTTTTTCCCCGAAAGAGAACACGACTGGCCCTGACTTTTACAAGATCCAGGTCGGTGATATGAAACTCGGCCAGATCATCGACCTTCTCTGGCTGTTCTTCAACGGAATGCTTCCGGTCTTGCTTTCGTATTGTCGCCTCCAAAACGAAGATCCATTCACCATATATTTGAAAGGATCCGACGGCCCAGCCCCTGATGGTGCAATCCCTGGAGAGTCACCGACAGAGCGAGTACCCCTAAGCGGTTACTGTTGAAGGATAGACGGTCGCGCGTGTGACCACTGATGTCGAATTGCACCGAATTGATTGAAATTACCCATCAGACAATAAAGATCAATCAATGGGGATTAAGGACCCACATTGATCACGTACTTTTCTATTTTATCTAACCAGTAGGGCAGATTTTACATATTTACACATTCTCTTTTAAGGTTTTGTGCATCAGGTGATAAAAGCATATGGCACCCAATACATGATGATCGAATCAACAATTTCGACCCACAATTTTTCTACTGGAGAGCGAAATTCTGGCTGGTTTTTCATGGTCCCCACACAAACACTCACAAAATTGTTAGGGTCATTTTTACAGTAAAAAAATTGTTTCAAATTATTTAATTTATTGCTGGTCCCAAAATATTTCTATTAGTGGTCCTTACTACTGGAGAGGTAAATTCATCAGTTACTACGGAGAATTATTATTAGTGCTTAGTACTACTGGCTGGAAAACCTCTATCAGTACTACTTACTACTGGGGATGTTATAGTAGTGAGCACTGCAAACTGCTGTGTTAGGGGGGTTCGTTGGTGCTGCTCCCTTTTGAATGCGTGATCAAAACCAATCAATTTTGAGCAAGATTGACAGGAGTATACTATCACCTTGATTTGCTATTTTGCACAGGGCTTCTTCTTGTACAATATTCTACAAGGGATCCTCCAAAATCAGTTTTTGGGTCTCCAGTTTGATATCAGTACCAAGCAGAATAGCCTCCATAGTACGTCTTTGTACAGTCTTCATAATATATATCCATGATTGAAGCGTCTATATTGGCATTGCTACATCATTCTTACCATATAACAACTTCAAGCAAGACTGGACTGAAAACCCTATTAACAGAGTGCTGGACGAGTGCTTTCTTCAGTTTCATCAATTTAACACTGTGTAATGAGCATTACTGTGTAAGGAGTACTGCTGGCAAATTATCATCCCTACTAAAGAGCAACCAAACAACCATAAATAGCAAGCATCAGTATCATCCCCCCACACCTTGATGTTGCTGCAGTCATCAATAACAGCATGGATGAAATATCACATTCCCAAAAAATAATCAGAACTCACCTCATTCCCTCTTCTGTCATAGGCGATAAGCTTTCTTCCAAGAAGAACAGCAAGGACAACGACGACATTGTTTACTATTGACTGCTCCTGCAACAAGCAAGTTCTTCAATTGCAACTTGCCAGTTTTTTGAGGATTCAATTGAATCAAACCAAGACCTTGATCCTATAGCAATAATGACAAGGGACATCATGGAATTACAGTCAGAGCTGTCAAAATTTAGTCCCGTCCTTGTGGTTGATGACTTAAGCTCATCACAGTTGATTGCTCCTTCTTAGTAGTAGGTGGTTCTGCAATACACAGAAAAGAAGCCTCTTTTTATCAGCAAATTTTACATATCTCTAGAACAGTGCAAGCCACCACTTTGGTTGAAATTTAGTGGTTACTAGTAGTGTTAATGGGAACACTCGAAACTTGTGCCTTCTTGTCTATTCTTGCCAGGAATCAAGTACTGCTGTTTGATTGCGTTGAGTCCACTGAGTGGTGCTTCCACATGCATTGAGGATACCACCAGTGCATCAATAAATTTAACCCGCCTGATAAATTAATTAAATTTAATTCTTTAATTTAAAAACATGTTAATTAAATTTAATTACTGGAATGAATAAATTTAGTAATAATTTTATTAATTAGAGTGGTTTGCCCCCAATAATAGATATATTATACCCCCAAATCAATGAACAAGGAGCACATATAGTAGACATTGTTGTATTGTATTAAAATTGTTAAAAAAACGTGCAAAGATTATCAAAAAGCTCCTTTTGCTGCCTCTACTGATGGTCCAATTTCTGATGGTTCAATTTCTGATGGTTCAATTTCTGATGGTGCAATCCCTGATGGTCTAATTTCTGATGGTCCAATTTCTGATGGTGCAATCCCTGTTGGTGCAATCCCTGATGGTGCAATCCCTGATGGTGCAATTTCTGATGGTCCAATCCATAGATGGCCCCTTCTTAGTGTGAAGCCCGCTTGGATCGGTAGTCTTCAAGGTCGGGAGAAGTCTTATTCTTGTTTTCTGATGGTCCAATCCCTGATGGTCCAACCCCTGATATCCCAATTCCGAGAAGCAAGGTATAGGTTGACGCCATAGATGTGACACCAGAACTTCCACTAACACAACAGCCCAGCCCCCTTCATTGGATGGCAAGTACCTTGTGGACACCGCTTGGGTCGGTGGTCTTGGTGGTCCTGGGAGTTCTTGGTCTTCGGTGGAGACCACATCGAGTACTACATTCGCTCGATATTCTGATTCAAGGTGCGCAAAAACAAAGGCGGTAGCACGCATCGAAAATAATTGCACAGTATGATAATTTGTTGTTTAGGATTTGATATGATATCACGTGATAGAATAGAAGAGTATGATGTACCAAAAAAAAATGTGCGAAATACTTTATCTGTTAGAAGCCTAGCCTAACGTATTTGGTTGGATTCCATGCGATCAATCTGCTTCGTTCATTTAGTTCGCCGGATCAGTGCCACGAAAAAACCACCTGTGTCCTGGTCCTGGGGAAACAACCGGAGGCAGCGATCAAGCGGAAGCTTGTTCGCGCCGGTCCCCGGCCACATGGACGGCACCGCTCCCTCCATTCTGTTCTCGGCGGCGCTTTCGTACGAATCATACCACCGGAGCCTCGCCTGGGGTTCCTCGCTCTCGACATCGGTTTTCGCAGCCGCATCCTCGCTGCTTGGGTCGAATCCAGCCACCCTCCAGCTCTTCACTCCGGGGCGCAGGACCAATCCATTCCGAAGCGATTCTGGGAATGGTACGAGTTCGAAGTTCCGTTGTTGTTGTTCCGGCCCTCGGTGGGATTTGCCACTGGAATCCTTGCCGAAGCTCTCGAAGGCCGCCGCCACGACCGCCTCGTCCTCGATGGGGTTCAGGCTGCAAGTCGAATAGCTGACGTACCCACCCACCGCTACGCAGAGCATGGCCCGGGCCAGGATCTTTACCTGGAGGGAGTGAAGGGCGTTCGAGATGGAAGGGGTCCAGTTGGGGATGACGTGGACGTCCTTCCGGCAGGTCCCGTCCCCCGAACAGGGGACGTCGCAAAGGATCACCGGGTACAGCTTGGATGTTTGCTTGGGGATCGGGTACCGGGAGGCGTCCACGTTCGAATACCTGACCACTTCGTCCACGCTGTGAAATGACTCACTGTCGTTGTCGCTGTCGTTGTCGCTGTTGCAGTCGCCGCCGCTTCTACCAAAGACACCTGATCGGTACACGGCCTCCCTCAGTGTCTCCAGCCGGTTCGCGTTCACGTCGTTGGCCCGAACCCGGCCGCCCTTTCCCACCACCAGCTCGGCCGCCTGGAGCGTCTTGGATCCAGGAGACGCGCAGAGATCCAGAACCCGGATCCGCGGCGAAGAAAGCGCCCCGAGCTTTTGCAGCAGCCACACCGGCAGCATGCTCCCCAGCTCCTGCCGGGCGATGGTCCCGTCCCTCGTGTGGGCGTTCAGAAACTCCTTGAGGCGGGGGTGGACTTTCCCGAGGGAGGCCTTGTCCAGGGCCCAGGGCCGGCTGCCCCGTAGGACGGGGAGGGCCTGGTAGATGTTCGAGGAGGCATCGAACGGAACGGACGCGACGCCCCCCTCCGCGAGTGTCGGTCCCATCAGAATTCGCTTAAGCCCAGCGATTTTGGAGCGCCTCCGGGCCAGGATTCGGTTGGTTGGTTCTGGAGCGTCTCCACCGTCGGAGTCGTAGTGCCGAAACCGAAAGGTTAGCGGGAGGGGTTTCGAGAGGGCCGTCAGGAACTGGCGAATCCCCGGGGAAATCCCCGCAGTGGATGGTCTGTCATTGGCGGTGGTGTCGGAGAGCGATTTCTCTGTAGCCGCTAACACCTCTAGCAATCGACCCCGGTATAGAAGCGAATCGTATTGGTGGCGGGGAACAACGGCCAGGTTGGCATGCACCGCCGACGTTGTTGTTATTGTTGTCGATGACAAAGATGACGATATTGTCGTAGCGCTGCCGCCGGCCAATGGTCCGGGAGCTGTCGCTGTACCTGCTGCAGCGCCAGGGAAAGCATCCGTTGTGTTTCTCGTTGTGCTCGCTGCATTCGTGCCGGTGCCGTTGGCGCTGCGACTGCCGGACGTTTTCCGCTTTTTCTTTTTTCGCCGCAGCGCCGCCCGGGACTGCCCGGCGGACGAGGGAGCACTTGCAGCAGCCTGCTCTGGCTGGCCACTCGGGGCACCGAGATCGATGGCAACGATGCCCTCTGGCTGTCCGAGGTAGTAATCCACAAAGAGGCGAAAGCCGGCGCCCGATCTCCGGTGCCATATTTGCTCGGCTTTCCTGTTTCGTTTCGCGGTACCGGCGTCGTTTTGGCTGTTCTTGTTCCGGTTCTTTTGTTCCCTTGCGGTTCCGAACTCGACCGGCACCGGCTCTATGGCGGAGGATTCGGGCGAAACATGGTTCTTTGGTAGCGGTGCGGAGCTTTGTTTCGTTGCGCTCGTTGTTGTTGCCTTTCCGCTCCGAGCAGCAGCGAGGGGATTGTCGAAAGCGCGGCGTGGGTTTCCATCCCCGGAGGATTTCTTCCTCTTGGCCATTAGTTGCTTGCGTATCGGGCAGGCTGGTTCCGGGTTATTGGTGCTTGCTACAGAGATGCCTATCCCTTGGGCACGGGGCAATCTCGCAGCGGAAACGATGGATTACTCCGAAACCGCTTACGCATCGAAAACTATACCTGATGGGTTTTTCGTTTTTTTTTCCTTGTGATACATTCGTTGGGTTGATGCCCATTTTCGGAGGTTTGTGATGAATGGCTGTCGTACCAAGTTTTTTAGAGTCGGTATTTTATTTTTAGAAGATGTCTCTTTGTAGATGTAAAAGCATTCTGAGTTTAATGGGCTTAGCAAAAAATCCAGTTCGTCCAATGCTGGCTGGTGGCCATTTTCGGTGTTAACCTTGATTTTCGTCCTTCACAAATCCGTTCGTACTCCACCTACCTTAGTAGAACGTGCTAGTTTTCAGTTTTCGTACCTGGGCCCCCGGTGGTTCATCGTACGAAATAGCGTATCTCATTCGAAACGTCTTGTATCTCCGCGAGAAAAAAAACAAAGCAAAAACCAACACCAGGGAAGCACATAGCCAATCGAACAAGATCCTCAACGAAGAACAACAACCCAAAGACAAGGTCGAAAACAGTTGCAACTCTGCGCTGATTATGGCATCCGAGGAACAGGAAGAAACAGAAGGCCCGGTTATGGCCTCTCCCGACGCCTTTGTCTACAAGGGACAGGAGCTTTCGCCCGACGACAAGAAATCCATTGTTCATGTGGTCGTCGATTCCACGCTGGTGGTGATTCCCGAAACGGCTTTCAAGGAATGCTTTTTGCTGACGTCCATTGTCATCCCAGAAGGAATCAAAAGGATTGGCGACAAGGCCTTCTCCGGATGCGAATCGCTGTCGTCTATTGATATCCCGGTGGGCCTGGAATCGATCGGCGTTCATGCTTTCTTTGGTTGCCAATCACTAACCTCCATCAACATCCCAAAAAGCGTAACAACAATTTGCGATTTTGCCTTCTGTAAATGCTCATCGCTCAAGTCGATTGCTATCCCAGAGGGTGTGGAAACGATTCCAGAAGGTGCTTTCTTTCGATGCGAAGAGCTTTCATCCATTCACATCCCAAAAGGTGTAAAATCGATCGGTCGTGGTGCTTTCGCTGGATGCTACTGGCTGTCTTCGATTGGCATCCCGAAAGGTGTAACTAGCATTGGAAAACGTGCATTCAAGGGCTGCGAATCGTTGACGTCTATTTATATTCCATCCGGTGTGAAAGAAATTGGAAGTGGTGCTTTCTCTGGATGCCTTCAGCTTCTCGTGGTAGCAATCCCCAAAGGCACAAAAGATATCGATAGTTCCACGTTTGAGGGTTGCAAGAAGCTGCGCCGTTTTTCAATCTCCCACGAAACCCCCGATGAAATTGAAGGCGATAATGCTACGGTTCGAACCGAAGGTGATGCTTCTACGGTTCGCAACATTGCCGACCGTCTACATTTGCGTTTCAAAGACCTCCCATTGCACCTTGCGTGCTATCGTGCAAACGGACAAAACATCGAAGCTCTCACAGCATCTTTGCCGAAGGAAGACGCACGAAAGACCGATATGTACAACCTTACCCCGCTCCACATCCTGGCAGGAAACCCAAATGCATCGGAACGAATGATTCGAAACGTTGTAGAGAAGTGCCCAGATGCTGTGACAAGAATTGATAACGCCCTAGGCATGTCGCCTCTCCACTTTGCATCGATCAATCCTGGCAACAATGTTGTTAAGATCATCTCTAACATGATGGAGAATAAGGCACCAGAAACCGGAAAGCTCTCATGCACGTTACGAAGCAAGGACTTGAAGACACCAACCATTCTTTCCATTCTCCACAATTATGAAAATGAGGAAGCTCAACGGCTCCTTTACAAATGCCAGCCATGCTCCGAATCACAGTTTGCAGAGCGATCCCACAAGAACCGAGTGAATTCATTGGAGCAATGGTATGTGAATGAATGCATCCCATCACTGACATCCGAAAACCTCCAGGTTTCGCCGCAAACCCAAAACGGTTGGGTATACTTTGTTAGCAACGTATCCAATCCTGACAGCATCAATTCTATCTGCAAATTCTTTGAGCACTGTCCAGAGCAGCTTCTCAAAGACCTTAGAAGCGCAAAGGATGACGAGGGCAAAGAAGCAATTGATGTTGCTGTGCACGGCATCAAAGCAGCCTTCAACAAACGACTCTACTTTTTGGGCAGGTATGAAATTATTGGCGGACCAGCCATTCACAAATCTGAAGTTTGCATCGTGATTGGAGCGATTGATATGGACTGCGATGGCATGTCACTCAACAGCGACGAGGATCGGAAGGTTGCCATCAAATTCGTAAAGGACGAGAAGCAATTTCTCACAGAGATTTCGTTCCGTGAGGACCTTCAAAAGAACTCGGGCAAAGTGGAGAAAGGAGAGCAGGCAGTGATTAGTATTAATGAATCCTACAATGCAACAGAAAATGAAGAGTTCAAATCTGCGATGCAATCATTGCCGATTCCTGGATCCAACGAAGACGAGAAGATGTTCGATCACTTCAAATACGCCATTGTGATGCCCTTTGCTGACCGCAACCTCGACACGATCGCTAGGAGTGAACAACTTGATCCAATGACGATTCGCTCGGATCTACATCAAATTGCAAAGAAGCTCCAAATCTTGCATCAATGCAACACCATCCATTGCAACCTCAAGATGCAAAATATTGTTAGAAGGGGAGAAAATTTATTCCTTACTGATTTTGATGGCTCCGCAAAGGTCAAACACGGAAATGCAGAAACGGAGCTTGCAAAGTTTTTTGTCGGGAAGAAGTTCTCATCTGGTATACTTCCCCCAGAGATGGTTTACAACTTCAAAAATTCAGAAGAGTTGAACCAATTTGAAGCCTACTACAAACATTTGGATGCGAAAAGCTTGAAATGGAAAGGAATCAAGCACCAAACGCCCAGGGCAACCAATGATTATTATTGTTTGAAGACTTTCGACACAGAGATGAAAGAAGGAAATCCGGACATCGACACAGGTAAGGTGGACGCAGTGGAAAGCGTGAAGGAGGGTTTACCATACGATCCAGTGGTAGCTACAGAAGCAATCGATCTGTGGTCATTAGGAACAATTCTGTATTTTCTGTGCACAAAACGCTCCTTGTTTCGTGTTGATACGAATGATAACTTGGCCGATGGTGATGCCATGGAACAACTGTACTACTGGAACGATGAGACAAAGATGAAAAGGGTGAATTCGAAAGACATCATAGATCCCGGAGCAAAGAAGATTCTGCTCAAGCTCCTATCAAGAGAACCAGGCGATAGGGGAACCCTAGAAGAGTTGCTAAATGAACCATTTTTTGGCAAACTGTCCGCAGAGGAAGTTATGGAGGAGATACAGAATGCGAAGGAAAATGCTGTCGAGGATACAAAGGTGATCATTAACGCTACAAATGCTGCTGACGAGGCACAAACGTTTGTCTGTCCAACGACTTTCGTTGTTTTGAAAGAAAAGCTCCCCCCTTACGACAGCGATCAAATGATCGCAAATCGGTGCAAGGAAATGTGCGAATTGGTCGGTGCTGTGGGTGATATGACGGAAGCAGCCGATGCCATTCCCAAACAGGAGCCGGATGCTTTGTTTGAAACCATGAAAGGAAAATTGAAGGATGTCGTCACGGACGACTCGAAAACAATGTATTTTTATCTCGTCGATGAATTGACAGGCAAGCCTGTTACTGGTGGAAAGTATCCAATTGAAATCACCAATCCGGCAGAAGTGGTTCCGACGTTGCTCCCGTACATCAAAGTTGGTATGACCTCAATGGCCGTCTACGACGGCACCGCAGGTGTCCTTGGATTGTTTGGTCTGAGTGCTCCTCAAGTTTCAACGAAAACCCAGAGCAAGCTCGGAAAGTCGATCGATATTCTCAAGCAAAAAAGCTCCAACGCGACGGAAGGGGATGATGATGCTTCCAGTGGTGCTCGAGGCGAGAGCCTTCGGGGCGAAAGTCTTCGGCAGCTCGAAGGTTTTTTCAAGTCGGAAGACCCCGAACAAAATTACGCAGGCCTCCACCGCATCTTGGACAGGGAAGGTATTGCGTGTTGGACTGCCGTTCACGGCCTAGAGAAAGAGCTCCTCCTCGAAAAACGGCAGTCGAGTCGACGCATTGTGCGTATGGCAGAAGAGCACCAACTGGAGATTGAAGAATGGCGGGAAAATCAAATCCAGGAAGCCAAGAACCAGGAGAAGGAGCTCGAGGAACAATACAAGCGGCACGAATTGGAGATAGAAAAATGTCAACAGGAGCACGAGGACGAAAAGCAGAAACACGAATTGGAGATGGAAGAGCGGGAAAACGAAATCCAGGAAATGAGAACAAGGGAGAAGAAACTAGAGGAGGAAATGAGAACAATGGAGAAGAAACTAGAGGATGAAAAGATAGAATATGAAATGGAGATGATTAAACGGGAAAGCAAAATCCAGGAATTGACAATGAAGGAGAAGAAGCTCGAGGATAAAAAGAAAGAGCTCGAATTCGAGTTGCAAAAGCAGGAGCAGAATTTGAAAGACGAAAAGAAAGAGCATGAATTGGAGATGAGAAAGCGGGATCTCGAAGTCCAGGAAATGAAAGTGCATGAGATGAAGCTAGAGAACGAAAAGAAAGATCTCGAACTCGAGATGCTAAAACAGGAGAAGAAGTACGAGGACGAAAAGAAAGCGCTGCAAGACCAAATCAGACAACTGAGTGAACAAGATTCTTCTCGTTGGTGCGCACCGCGATCGAAGACGAGTTAATCCAGTACTTTTCTGTGTGAGTACCATAGTCCAAGCTCCTCATGGCAATTTCACTACTTGTTCTTTGTTTCGAACAATGTGAGGGCGGAAGAGCCGTGTCTCGCTTCGGGATCCATCGGTCTTCTTCTTTGTTCTCGCCACGGGGCGATGTAAATGTTTGGAATTTATCCTCTGAAAAAAAATGTAATTCTAGTAGACAAGCTGTAATAGTTGATGGCATTCTTTCATCCGCAGAAGGTACGAGTCTGGCATGAATGGCCTGAATCTGTTAGCAGAGCAGCAGCATCAAAATCAGCTCCCTTCGGTGTTTCGGCATCGTTGTCTTTCGCATCACCACCTCGCGACTCGAATGGGAGGCCTGAACCGACACAGCGGCTGGCTGATGAACATGATGGATCCACGCGAATACCAAGGCTTTCGTAGGTCGCAATATTAGTCACAACCGTATACTGAAGATGGGTCAGTGCCCAAGAAGAGGAGGGCGGCGCCGTCGCATCGTAATCGGTAATTGTAGACCCTGATCGAACTCGTTTCTCGCATCGGCATCGGCATTGCGGCTCGCCAGTGGCTGACCTCACGCAGTGCTATCCGCTTGAAATATGGTTCCTGCTAATTGTATTGTTGGAACTGTGCGTCCTGTATTTTATTCTTTATTCTGAACAGGCGACAAATTCACGCACGTAATATTCGGATTTTCGGGTTTTCTTCGACCAGAAATGTTGCTGTTCTTTTGAGACTGACTTACTGTACCAACTACGAAGCATACCTTGATATCTCATTGTTCGTAAGTCGTAAGCCCTGTGCAAAATCTTCCTTGGCAGGGGTGGTGTCAAACATGAAAAAGAAAGCTCGCTCGACCAATCACAAACAACTTCATCACGCGCGGCACATACGTCACAATAGAAAACATTACTGTACTATCGCACGGCTTCTCGTATTTTGATGCCGGTCGAACAAAAATACTCGTAGTTGGTTCCGCAGTTTGAGATCTACGAGAACTCGTACTGTACACACACGCCGTACATGTAGTACTTACACGAACTCCTGATCGAGACAGAAATCTCAGGAGACACAACAGAAACATCACATCCACATCCACCCCTTCACAAACCAGATTCCGTCCCAAGGATCTCCATACGCAACGTACGGTACCTGGTATCTGCTCCCCCGCGCTCTCTAATAAGCAAGCAAGTGGCAGTGGTCCCATTCTATCAGCGTTGCTCCCATTGCTATCGAACCCCACCCAATTTTGCTACCAAACGTCCACCTAAAGAACGACAGAAGCATTCCACAAAATGAAATTCTGTATGGCCATTGTTTTCCTTGCCGCCTCTATGGCGTCCACCGCTACGGCGTTTGCTCCCGCCCGCGTCACCCGCTCCGCAAGCAGCACCTCGCTGAAGATCGTCGTCGGCGACACTGCCGAAGAATTCGCGGCCCGCGTCGATGCTACCTTCGAGAATTCCCCCGCTAAAGACCCCGAATTTGACGCTATTGTCAGGGAACGCTTCCCCGGGGCCCTCACAAACCAGGAACTCGTCACTGGCACGGTCAATGTTCTCGCCAGCAAGGGCTATAATGGAGAGAACACCCTGCTCGCCACCAGTCTATGCTGCGACGAGCTGGCCCGCGAGCTGGAGGACGACTTCAACGGTATCTACGGGAACAACTTCAACCTGGGAGGGCTCGCCGGCTTTCCCTTTGCCGGTAAGACCGGCTTTGGGGCCATGGCTGCCCACATTCCCGACGATGGTTACTGCCTGATCGTCTACGGCCCCCACGTAGGTGTCGCGGCCGATGGAACCGTCGGCAAGGTCGAGCGGTCCGGCATTGCGCTGGTGGACACCTGCTGCGGATCGGCGGTGGCCGCATCCGGCTACGTCGAGTCCATCATGAGTGGGACCAAGGAACTCACCACGGGCATCCAGAACTTTGTCGACTTCCAGCAGCAGGGGGTCCAGGAACTCATCCTGCCCCACGGCAAGCGCCTGGCGGACGCGGACGACCGCATGATCGAGCTTCCCTACGCGCTCTACGATTCGCAGGACATGCTCATGACCGAGATCGTTGTTGGCGGATCCACCGGCATCAAGCGTGGACTGGCCATGCTCGGAGGAGTCCAGATCAATACCGGTCCGGACACCCCCGACTACTTTGTCCCCCTCAAGTTCGACTACATGAACTACCGGGGCGAGGTCGTTGCCGATCTCTTGCCGGGCCTCGTAGGGTAAGTTGAACAGGATTGCCTTTGTGTTGGTCTTTTGCGCTGGTTCGTGTTTGTTTTCCTCTGTCACTTGCAAATGGTGTTGACTGGTGGTGGCATCTTCTTTCTACCGGAAGCCGCTCAAGGCATACACAACACAACGAAGACTGCATTTCCGAACAACAAAGTACGAAACATAAACGAAATATAGAAGAATCTATTTTTCACAACTCACACAAACAGACCAAAGAATCTTTTTAATCGTGCCTCTCATACATAGAGTTTTTCATTTCGTCTCGTCTTGATTCGTCTTGTCTTGTTTTGGTATTTTTTGTTGCGTTTTCGATGGCATTTCGCTCGTCGATCGCTTTCCACCTTGCGTTTGTGGATGTTGTTTGCATTTGCATCGCGCTCGATTTTACCGAACACACCACCGCGCCACATTTGTGTTCACCTTCACCAGATACGATGGACCAACCGTCAAAACCGACGGCGCAGAAGGCACAGCCGACGGCAAACACGCGGCAATAGAAAACGAGGGAGGTGGACGCGAGGAGAAGGATGCCGTAGATAGTACCACCGACAGAAGCCTAACCACCGAAACCAGGTTGCAGGATGGGTTGGAAGCAGTCGATGGTGACGACAGCAGTCATCCAACCATTGCTGGTGCTAGTATACTCAGCAAGAACCACAGCCTTCTGACAACCGAAAGCACTGCCCAGAAGCCTCCAATCAAAATTGCGGAGGAGGGAGCGGATCCTGTCATCGAAGACGTACAATCGACCGGCGCGGAGCAAGAGCAAGATAAAGAACAAGGCGATGTCAGCAGCAGCAAGCGCGAATCACAGAGCATGGAAGCAAGATCAGAAGAAACAACAGAAGATGATCCCACAACTAATCGATTGCAAACGAGCACAAACCAAGATGACGACCAAACAGATTTACCAGACGAGGTAACAGGAGACAAGAGTACGCCCGATCCTGACATCGAAGACGCCTCAACCAACAACAAGAGCATTGACATTGACATTGACATTGACATCACAGCAGGCGAAACAAAAAAAGCGGACTTGGAAGCGACCAACCCAGAAGCTCTGGACGAGGTGAAAGCCCAGCGACCGATCAATGATGGCGAAATCGGCACACCGAAAGATGGCGAGGATGACGGGGCTGATTCCGTTCTCGAGTCGACCAAAAAGGAAGGTGCTGCTACCAGTGCCGCAACGGAAGATGTGTTGATTGACGCTGAGAACAGCAATTCTGAGGTCGAAACTGATCAGGAGACCAGTCCGGAAACCAAAGACGCAACAGGTAACGGTGCCGAAACCGTTTTTCCAATCAAGGACAATCTGGAAGATAAACCGAAAGATAAAGAAAAAGAGCACGAGGGCGTTAATGACAATGTCTTTGAGGGGTCTGAGATAACTGCTACACCGGGAGATGCCAGAAACATTCACAATAATGATCTTCCCATCCAAAACTTACAAAGTGACAGTAAGAACCCGGACGATGGAAAGCCTCCTGATGCCGCTAGAGACGAAGTAACAGAGTCACTAGGGGATGACGCAGGGGACGACGCAGACTACAGCAAGTCAAAGACTGTTAGTTCTGGCGGCCCAAATCAACACAATGTGTCTTCAAAAACTGCTACCGACCAATCCGACCTCGAAGAAACGATTGAAAATTCCAAGGACAAAACAACGGCAGGGATGAATGGAATAGAAGATGCGCAATCAGGAACGATTGACATCGACGAGAAAAACACCGAATCCAGTCATACCGATAATGTAATGGACGAAGAGCTGTTATCTTGGATGACGACGTCGACTGAAACCAATATCGATGATCAACTGGGGAACGCTGGCGGTTCTCCCCCTGGCAAATCCGATGGAGACAAAGTCTCTGTTATAGACGAAGAACTGATGTCATGGATGACTACACCAAATCAGGATAAGGTCGAGGACAAATCGGCAAGCCCGGTTCCGACGCCCTTCAGTGGAAGCAATGGAGACAAGAGTAGTGCAGTAGACGACGAGCAGCTCATGTCTTGGATGACAACTCCGAACCAAGAAAAAGAAATAGAAGACGATGATAGTGCAGATAGGAACGGGGGTAACCTACTGGGGGAACAGATAGTCTCGGCCCTCGATACAGCAGAGATCGACGTCGTGGGAGCAGAGGGTGACGAGGTCATTGCCCCCGAAACCCTGGCGGATATTATGCTCGAAAACATAGAAAAGGATGCCATCAAGACAAACAAAGTCGGTAGGAGCCTATTCGGAGCAAATTCCCTATATTCGATAGGGGGGGAAACCTCGATAAGCAACACAGAGTTGGAACCACCCGATGATGCCTTTACGGACGACCTGTTGCGCGACATTGCGAACTCAAAACATCTTGAGGCCGAGGACGATTCGGTGGAGCAAACAATTGGAGAAGAAATGGTCCTCGTTGCGGACTCGATTCTGAACATCCTCCTCCCAGATGGAGAAGGCGAGCCCGAAGCCATTCCCGAGGATGCTCCGTCCGAAAGTACGGGCAGTGCGGAGAAGGGAGACAATGGGAGTGATGGACCTTCCACGAGCCACAGATTCGAGCTGAAACCCGATGGGTCCGGTGGATCGGGGCTGTTTTATTAGAACATGCCAATTCCCTATATATTGGTGCTTGCCCGCCAGTCGCCATTCATTTTTGCTTGTGTTGATTGAATCTCCCCCCTGCATGCGCAGCTGATAGAATTTGTAAATTTTTAAACATGTAATATTATACTATCAAAAGCCTACAGCAATGCATATTGCTCCTATCGTACTATTGTTGCAACAGCGTGTGGATTGGTGAGCACAATGCGTGAATCCTTTCTCCGAAAGTTTACGACCAGAACCGATGCGGCCGCTAATCGGAGGTCGGAAAAGGATGATACGAAAATCGATCAATGCGATATGTCTTCAGACCATTTAGCCCACGACATCACTCTGTGACATTTTATCGAAGGCCACTCCAGTCCCTGCACGTTGTTCTAACCGAGAAAGCAGTTTGATACTGTGCTGGGTTGAACGAAGAAGTAATGCCAGACGTTGGTGAGATGATAGTACAGCCAAAGCTGTCGAGCGGAATAATTGTTCAAAGAAGCTAGATTACATCTGACGTAAAGTTACGATACGATAAAATATTATGATGGCATGATGCTAGGACACATGCAGTTTTCTTCTTTAATACGAACAAGTTATCGCTCAAGGAAAGATACAAGGCAGTCTTCGTCTCGTTCCCGGGGACGATGATAATGATGAGGATTATTCCGTTGATAGGATAACCGGGACGCAGGTACCACAGGGGCAGACGAAGACCGCACTCGTCCCTGGTGTTGTTTTTGTTGCCTTGCCTGCGGTGGTGAAAAGAAGCGCACCAAATCTCGGTAGCTCGTTAAAAGCTCCACGACGTTGCTCGTTTTGTTGCCATTCTTGTGTTTGTTGGACACACGGTGTGGGAGCGAAGAATAATGCTGCTGCTGAAGCTGTGTGTGTAGTTCTTCGATCACGCGATCGTGCCGTTCTCGACCGCGATCGGCACAGGCGTCCTCAATTATGAAGGTTCTGTATCCTTCTTCTCTACACACCATCGCGGTGTTGAGAACACAGACGCTCGTCACCAAACCACAAACTAGTACAATGGTGTTGTTTTTGCCGTTGTTATTCTTGATTTGGGTCTTCCCTTGGTTCAAAAACGTTTTATCTCCATTGTCGTAGTCGCAACCATGGCACCCATGGCTATGACTGCGACAATGCTTCATGGCAGGCAGCTGTAGTTTTTTTTGGTTCCCCGTTGCGGCAATCTTTCTCAATGCATCCAAGAGGAGTATTTCTCCGGAGGAGGACCAGCTCGGACTGGGAATGAGGAGCTCTCCTTGTTGTGGACAAACGGCATCTTCCCCATTCAGTTTGCAACGTTCGTTGGCCTCATAGTTGTTGTAAGAATCGACCAGCGATGGCGAATAGCCGCATCTCTCTATCTTGCGCTCGATATTAGGGTGCTGCATGGAAACGGAGTTGTCTTGCTTCTGGTCGTTTGTGGGGTATATCTCTGGCTTGGTCGGGGATCTCGAGGAGGGCGCTCTGAATGTTTTCCATTCTTGTGATCGCTTCTGGACGGAATGGAGATGTATGATTTTGGTAACATTTGCAGGATGGGAGACTCCGTTCATGTCCTGTAACTGTTGCCGTTGCATTTGCCTACAGAGTCCAATGGTATTTTTCAGATTTCGGCGAAAGTGTGGGAAATCCTCACGAAGAATCGCCGGGCAGTCTTCCATCCAGTAGTTTTCCGATTCGAAGCGCACCCCTACTACGACGAGAACGACATTGGTAATTCTTTCTTGTTTCTTGTTCATTTTGCTCCTTTGTTTCCTGTTTCTTCTCCTTCCATTGCTCTTGCTCCTCAGACCAGGTCGCTGGAGGTGTTGCCGTTGTCTTTCACTGCTAAGAGTGGTCAACGAAGGAATGCTATTTTCGGGCTGAGCAGGGATTTCCACGATAGACGGCACCCACGAAGAGCGTTGTCTGCTACTGATGCTATCGGGTTCCCTCTGTTCTCCTTCGGTGACGATGACAGCGGTAGGTTCGGAACGATCGTGGCTCTGCTTTTTGTTTGTAGTGGTTGTCATATTGTCGACATTGTGTTGACTATTGCCATAACGTGATTTATCTGGTGTGCTGTGTTGTTTTTGTGGTCTTGTGCAGTTCGACGTGTTAAATTTTGTACATGCTTCTCTGAGGAATTCCGTTTTTATGAATGGACCTTAAAGTCAATGTACGGATTCCTCCATATTAAATCCTTCACTGGTCTGCTGTTTCATGTGCCGATAGTGGAACTGCATTCTTTCACATAGTTGCCGGTACATGATTCTACGGGTATGTGTACAAGTAGCACCAAGATTGTCACATATTGCGACACAACGCGTCACAACGTTCCGTTGGATTCGTGGGAGAGCAAAGCTGCGCCCATGTTCGTACTCTGCTGGAACAAGAGACCAACACGCATCTTCAACGTTTTGAAGTACAGGAACAACGCGCCATGGATTCTATTGCGGAGTTGCACATGATGTGCGGAGTTGCACATGATGTGCGGAGTTGCATTTCATGTGAAGGCATAAATCGAACGAACTATTTTTTTGAATGGCAAGGCTATGAACATCACCATGCTCGAGAAGAGCGCTCGCTGACTGGTTTTAAAAATAGCAGTTCCTGCCTTTTTTACTTTCCTTTTTTCGTACTTCTACATTTTTACAGTACTGTACGTACTGTGCGATTTAGTTCTGTGAAGAAGCGTGCTTGTTTATCACAGAATGGATACATACCGTAAGATTTACCATGCCGTACCGTACCGTACGTAACGTGACCCTACAACAAAGTTTGTATTCGAGTCGATCGTGTCAAAAATATTCCTCTTCTTTTACGATTGATTTTAATCACGAGATGAGAGGTGAGAGAAGAAATTGAACCGAGAGCGACGTCAAGCGATGAGGGGGATGGGGGAATTTAAAACATCCAAATCGCTTGTTTTTTCTTGGGTTGAACAAATCTTCTGAAAAATGAAAAAATGAAATTGCCCACAATGTTCTACGGTACTAACATGTACATTAGGGTACGAGTATAGTAATTACGGCAATATCTTTGTACCAGTATTTCGTATTTCATTATTTTCGTACGTGCATATGGTTTTCACCAATGCCTACGGACGTGAAGCAAGAATTCGCACGAAAAATCTCGAGTTCGGTGAGATCAGCCCAATCAAACACGAAACATCTGTTCAGAAGAAGACGTCCACCGGTAAAATACAAAACACAGATACGTATTCTATCGTACTGCACTGCATTGGATTTTTGGACAGGACAACCAGTTCGCCGGACGGCAAAGGAATATCACTTCCGCCACCATCATCCACTGTCCACACATGCAGGTATCTGTTCAGGAAGAACCAGCGATAACTTCGGCATCTTCGGCTGCACATCCGACGGTAGGGGAGAGGGACAACAACAAAAACTACTGTGAATTTTGTTTGCAATAGTCTGTCTGGAAATGATGTATCACACAAAGCCCCATTTCTATCGACAACTGTTGTTGTTGTTGGTAGTGGCTGCCGCTACTTTTTCCTGTCGAATAAGCAATGGCTTAGTTTCGTCCTTTGCACCTGTGGTTTCGATTGTTCCCAGGCTGCTGTTGTCGTCGTCGGTTTCATGCGAGAGTGGTAGATCAATTTGCCTCCGAGCCAGAAGTAGTAGCAGCAACGACAACGAGAGTGACGAGGAGGACGAAGACAAAATGGTTAGCGACTTCTTTTTCAATATTAGCAAAAGCAACCTCGACAGCAGCAACAAAAATGGTCGGACCAGCATGGATGCCGGCATCCAGGAAATGGTCAGCGGTGGCACTAGTAGCGATTATTTCTATTCCTTCGATGGGAGCACGGACTTCCCACTCGACGATTCAAGTGGGGACCAGGCCCATTCAGAGAATAGCAACAGCGACGTAGTTATGGTGGTTGATTGGGAGTGCTTGTTGGATGCCCTGCCCTACCACGTCGAACTGGGCATCCACGCAGCGCGGACGGTCTGGCCCCACCTCAACGACCTGTGCAACTTCGATACCGACCGCCAGTGGCTGGAGAACAAGCTCTACGCCATGTCCCACGTCCTCGGTTGTCCGAGCGACGGGCCACCCCGGCACGAAGGTCACCGGCACGTGGCCTGCGAGTTCGCCCTGGCCACCCGGCTCATTCTGGAGGAACAGGCGCTGGACCGGAACGAGTCGACCGGCAAGAACGGCAAGTACTCGCGCAAGTTCCATCCCCGATCGGAAATCAACGGGAGCGACAAGTTTCAGGAGGAGTCGCGGAGTCGCAGGCCGCTAACAGCCGGAGAGCTGGCCGTGAACTGGAGGGAATTCATCCGGTCGACCCTCATCGTCAAGTACTCGAGGGGACCGGACGGGAAGCTTAAAAAAACGGAACCGACGCTCGAGCTGGAGCAAGCCATCGAGGAATACCTCACCACACCTTCGTCGTCGGAGAGCAAACCGTCCTTTGCGTCCAAACCGTTTCTCCCGTTGTTTCCACAAACAAAGTTTGCACTGCGCAACTCGTCGACCAAGATAGTGATTCGGATCTCCCATCGGTTCGACAACGAGCTTGTCGCCCGCAAGCTCAACAAACAGCTGCAACTAGGACCCCACGAACGCATCGCAAAAACCTACAAACCGGAAAACGCGATCCGTCGACTCTTTCTAAACGAAGACAAGAACCTTGTCTTGTTGTTGTCGCCGGAGCACTACAACGACGATGGCAACGGCATCGGCAACAGCAAGAAATACGACAATGGTTCTCACCAAAACCACGCCACGGAAGAATCTTGTCTGCGAAGCATCATGAAGTTCGCACACCAGTGCAGCAACCGTTACCAAGAGAAAGGGGAAGTGGAAGACGTCACAACTCGCACTGCCACCACGATCACACGGTCGCCATGCATCGTATGGGTTGATAGTTCTTGGCACCGCCTGCAGACTCTCGTTCCCGTCTTTGGCGACGCGATACCTAGTCTGAAGAACGGCAAGAAAAACACGGCGGAATGCACGGTGATTGCAGCGGAGGATCGCTCTCCCGGTACCGGAGAGGAGGACGACGGTGACGAAGACCGCACGATCGCCCCGTCCTCGTCGGTGTGGCTGAGCCTGTACCTCGCGGAATGGCCTTCCATCGACAGCAGCACCTCAGCATCGGAGACTGCCCGTGCCACGATCCTCTCGACCACGTTTTCCGAGAACCACCAGGCAGCCATGGTATACCCATGGACGGATTGCTTGTCGTGGGACGACGCGGAAGACATTTTGCTACCGGCCGACTGGGGATTATCTGATACGGCATTTCAATGACACGCAAGTAACAAAGAAAGCAAACCAAACAATTGGCGCGAAACAAAGTGATGCAAAGGAAATAGCAAATACAAAAGAAACCATTCTTGATATTTTTATAGAGACGATTGAGATTCCCATCAACCGAACAAAATAACCCGCTATGAAATTCAACTACTGCCGAGTATTACAATACAATATACTATTAAACAGATTTGTGTACTATCATAATTCAACGAAGTCGCATGAAGCGTACACATCAATCCGTCGTGCAATCTCGAACGGGGTTCTATTGGTTCGGTTTGATCCCATCGTTTGTCGCCATTAGAGTTGGTTTGCGCAGTACTTGCGGTAACCCGGCGCTTGGGTGTGCGATGCACCTACGTGGGAGAAAACGTCGTGCTCGTTTCGATTCATCCATTTTGCAAGATCAATTCTGATGGTTGGTTCTCTAGTCTCGTGTCCTTTTTCCGCTTGCATTCACTAACTCGGGTCTTGCACCCTCCAGCATCCTTTGGAAGCTGAGATTCGATCCAATGCGGTGCAATCCTTCTTGGCATTGGTTTCCAACACGGGATTTCCTTCAAGGGAGTGCGCCCGCCAACTCCTGTATTCGTTTCGTTCGCGCTGTAAAGTACAAGAAATGCTACGTTTGTTTGAACTAGTGCATAAGAGCAAAACCAAAATTTTGTTAACAATTTATTTATCATATGTTTCTTTATGCGAAATGAAATGTTGGGTACACGTGTACTGTGCTATAATTGGAATAGGAAGGACGGTAAAGCGAAATGGAGAGAGAGAAAGGTGACATCCGCAGGCTTGGAGTGTTGTGCTGTGCTGTACCCTAGGACGACAGCATAACACAACACAAGTCAAGCACGGCAAGGTACGGCGTGGGATAGACCCTGCTAAGGAATGGATCAATAGCCATAACCGTTCCAAGAGGCGCCGCACGAGTCCAGAAGTCTGCGCCGGCCGTCCGAATCGCTGCTGCCAAAGGCGTCTTCTCCAAAGGCCGCCTCCAGCATGTCCTTTGCGTAACCGGAGGCATCGACGAGTCCGTCCGCGAGGGTCCAGGTCAGGGTCCCCCCCTCTACCAGCAGGACCACGTTGTCGTTTGCGGCGACGCGGGCGCTGCCCTTGATCTGGAACCGCACGTCCCCGCCGGCCAGAACCACCTCCGTCAGCCTGTTGAGGGATTCGTTCCCGAGCTCGGCAACGTTTCCCTCTTCCCAGACGATGGCCTTTTCGGTTTTCATAACCTCCGTCTCTTCGGAGCCCTTGACGTAGGCAAAGCCGTTTGCCGAATTGACAGAGACTTCCTGGGACATGCGGGCGGCGGCGATCGATGCGCCAAAGATGGCGGCGATGAGAACAAGGATGAGGAGAAAGCAGGCGCTGATGATCTTCGTGAGGTTCCTGTTTTTCTGGTTTGTGTTGTCCAGGTCCTGGATGGCCAGGGCAATGTCGCTCTTGCTGAGGGCCCCGTCGCCATTGCGGTCGTACATGGTGGCGGACGGCCGGAGTCTTGGGGGGAGGGCGGATAAGCGGACGGAGGCGTTCTTGCTCACGCCACCGGGTCTGCCCTCTCCGTATTGAAAGTCGGTGGCGGAGCTGTCTTCGTCGATGGCGGAGTTGCGGAGGTCTGCGGTGTCGTTGTTGGATTGGTGGGACATGTTGGCTCGTGTTGGTCTTGTTGGTGGGGTTTCGTTTGGTTTGGTTGGATTGGATTAGATTAGATTAGATTAGATTGGTGTGATCCGGAAACGATTTTATGAGATAGGTTTGCAATATTGTATTCTGCCGAAAGAAAAGATTACGACTAGTTGACACGACACGAAGCTTATCATCCACACTCGTACTGTATTCGTTGCCTTGCCTCACACATCGATCATGTCGTACATATCGTACGGTAGGTGTACCAGTATCATTTTGATTCATTCATTCTGTGCATTTCTTTGTACCGGCATGCAGATTTGTTGCGTGCCTTTCTATCAGTCCCGTGTAATTTTCCACCAACGAGTTTCTTAGTTCCGACGTTGAAGTAATCAGAAGGGTTTCAATTTCTACATTCGGTAACAAGTACTTCAAAGTACTATGATTTGAAACGGGACCATGTTGTTTTCGAAAAGCGCCTAAAAAACCAAGGCTATAATTTCTAACTTGAGGTTCGAGACCCGAAAGCAGTCATTAGTTCGTCAAAAGATATGGAAGCAGTCTTGAAAACGAACCAAGTTTAAGTACTTGCGTCTATGCTCGCATGAACAAAATCCAATTGCCCTTGTACGCAGTATTCCTTCGCGTTCCATTGAAAACGAAGATTGTTCAGGAGGGATCTCGTCGCGTCCCGTCTGGTACTCGTAGCCGATCCGCACCCCTTCACTACTCACTCGCTCTCTCGCACTAGACCGACTCGACTCTCTCGACCCCGAACCTGAATGCCGAAATGCGAGGTGCCGATAGCGCCCGACTCAAGTCGACTCTCTCGACTAAAAATAAACAATCCGATCAAAACGTCTGGTCGTAGTCGGAGTTTGGATCTGTCACCGAAGCCGCTCACGTACTAGTACTAGTACGAGTATGTACTCCTTCTACGGTACCGAAGGATCGGTTTGTGGAAATCGAAACACGCGGAATGCTGCAACGTCCCTTGTGGAATTTTGCGGTAGGTATTTTTTAACATCCGATTCCAACGACTTGATCTCCCTCCCACGGTATCTATCGTACAGTTTGGTACTAATCACCAATCATCGAACGCAGGTACTCGTACTTTAGGGTTCGGATAGAATGCTCGTCCTCCTCTGCTTGCCTGCCGGCACACCCGTTCTCGCCTCGGCTTTGCAAGGAATCTCCGCTCCCCTTTTCGTCTGCCGATCCGAGAATCGCCATCGTTGAACCAACGACGCCCTAGGCAAAAGCACACAACACCACAGCACAGCACACCCAGTTTCGGTTTGATTTTCCCAATGAGACTAAGTTTTTCGAGTTTGACGGCATTCCTATTGTTGGCTGTTCCCTCCGCAACGACCACCGCCTTTTCCACCTTCGCAGCGAGCACCGGTCCGTCCAATCCGCAACACTCTCAGAGACACTCCCAGAGACTCTCGCCCAAGACGGCCACCAAAATGAGCGCCTCTCTGAAACCCTACATCGAGACCCTCATCGCTGGGGAACGCTCCCTCACGACGGACGAGACCAAGGAGGCCTTTTCGGAAATCCTCCAGGGAGCCGACGAGGTCCAGGTCGGGTCCCTCCTGACGCTCCTGCGGCAAAAGGGCGAGACGCCCGACGAGATCGCCGGGATGGTCCAGGCGATGAACGACGCCTGCAACGCCGTCGATCTCGGCGACCGAAAACTCCTGGACATTGTCGGAACCGGCGGGGACGGGGCCGACACCATCAACATCTCGACCGCCTCGACCGTCCTGGCGGCAGCCTGCGGCTGCACCGTCGCCAAGGCCGGAAACCGCTCCGTCAGCAGCGCCTGCGGATCCGCCGACGTTCTGGAGGCCCTCGGCGTCAAGATCGACCTCGATCCCTCCCAGGTGGTGGAGTGCGTCGACAAGGTCGGCGTCGCCTTTATGATGGCTCCGGTGAACCACCCGGCCATGCGCTTCGTCGCCCCGGTCCGCAAGAAGCTGGGGGTCCGGACCTGCTTCAACATTCTGGGACCCATGACGAACGCCGCGGGGGCCCAGCGGGCCGTCATCGGGGTCTTCCACCCCGAGCTCCTGGAGCTCATGGCGGGGGCCCTCCAGAAGGTCGGCCGCGTCGACCACGCCGTGATCATCCACGGGGTGGGACTCGACGAGATCAGCCCGCTCGGGCCGGCGACCATCCTCGAGATCAAGAACACCGCGGCCGAGGGCGAGGCAAAGGTCTACGAGACCAACCGGTTCGAGTTCGACCCCGAGACCGTCGGCATCCCCCGCTGCGAGCTCATCGACCTCAAGGGGGGCGGCCCGAAGGAAAACGCCGACAAGTTCCGCGACGTCCTGCTGGGGGGCGACCACACCGACGCCAAGCGGGATTCCATCGTCCTCAACGCCGGGGTCGGCTGCTGGGTCTACGGGCTGGCGGACAGCATCGAGGAGGGCTGCAAGCTGGCGAGGGAGACCCTCAACAGCGGAAAGGCCTCGGACCTCCTGCAGGACTGGATCGCCGCCAGCCAGGAAATCGCATCGGCTTCCGAATAAAAGACAGGCAGCGAAAACAAAAGCGGCGGCCGTGGTGGCACGGGGATGCGGCAGCCATCCCACTCTGGTAGTGCGGCCGTGGGCAACACCAAATCATACGACGAGAGGCGACGCAAGGCATGGCGAGGAAGAGAACGAACCTTGCGTTGGATGGACACGAAAAAAAAAAAAACTCCAGCGCAAACCGCAATTCCATTGTGTTGCTTGTCTGTTCCCTCCTTTCTGCCTTGCTCCTTTTCTTGAATCGAGTTAATAAGTATTTTTATATAAAGTTCTACCATTGCGTTGTGATTTTTTCTACAGCTATGATTCTTGCTGCAAAAACTGTGTGCGGATTGCATACCCATGCAGAATGCAGTAACGAATCGTAGTGCTCCTATTGGCTAGCTCCGTACGTAGTTGCGCTTTGTTTGGATGGATCCGTACAAGAAAGGTGTCGACTCGCACTGCTGGGAAAAGACAAAAAAAACGGCACCCATGGCATCATTATTTATCGATTCACCAGATCATCCATCGTGCATATCGAAACCAAATCTAGTTTGGCGTTCCAAGTTTGTACACATGATTCGTATCACGTCACATCGAAGCTTAGCATAGAGAGCAGTGTTTTAATGTTATGGAATACTTTTACATGTAAACGGGTGGTGTGGCTCCGGGCCGCATGGCTTGCTTTCTGCGTTGGGGTCGACGCGCGAGCCACCACCACGAGACCACCAAGGTCCGCGGCGCGGATCAGCGCTTCGTGGCTGTTTTTTTTCTTTCAGGGCCGATTTCGCGCATCCAGCAGCGTGCGAGTGTCTTTCTTGGTTTGTGCATCGGCGCTGTATGCATTTGTGCGACGCACCGGCGGCAGCTTTCGAAATGATGCACGGCACAGAAGGCGGCGGCAACCATTGCTGCCGCGTCACGCACTCCGGCGAAACGGCCCGGACCAATCGACTCGGTCAGGGCGCGGTGTGTCCCGTTCGATCACAAAAGCAAGGCAGTGCAATGGCAATTTCAATGGCAATTCAATCCAATCGAGTCCAATCCGTTGCAGTGCGGTCCGAACGAGTATCTATACCACTCGACAGCCGTTCCATAGCAGAGCAATCAGTGAACGATCGGCGCGGAGTTGTATGGATTGGCTTGGTGTTGCGTTCGCTTGGGTGGAGCTGGGAAGCGGCGTCCACTGGAGTGCACGTTTCCGGGGGTTTCGACCGAAGCAAAGCGAAACGAGACCGGGCGGGACGAGACGAGATGCTTCGTCCGTCGCCTCCGGGTCTCGTCCCGTCCCGTCTTGCCCCGGGCGTTCCCGGTGGAGCCCTCCCTACCGGCCCCCCGCCAGGTCTTTCCGGATCTCCCCGAAAAAGGCCACGACGAAACCCGGAATCCCGCGGAGGGGCCTCTGGGGAGCCCGGAGCCCGCCTCCTTCCGAGGCGGCAGAACCACCGCCGGCGGAGGCCGCACCGGACGGACCCGCTTGGCTCTTGGCCAGGTCCTCGATGGTCCTGGCGATCTTTTCGGTCCCCTGCTTGTTGAGTTCCTCGTACTGCTGGTTGGTCCGGACGGCAAACCTCTGGAAGGTCCGGGAATTGGCGAGGCCCTTGACGATGATCTCGTTGGCGACGTAGTTGACGACGCGCTGGATGAATTGCTGGCTCATGGTTGTAGTTGGGTGGGTGGTGTTGGTGGTGGAAACAGATTGTGTGTGCTGCGGTCTTTCCTTGGCTTGCTTTCTTTCTGTTTCTTCCTTTTTGCTTCCCTCGCTCCGTTGGTCTCCAGTCTCCACGTTCCTTTTTGCCAACCGTGGTTCGAAAGAGATTGATTCCCATCCGTCTGTCCATCTACCCGTCGGCCCTCTCTTCCCCATTGGCATTCTTCGATCGATTTCCATGCCGAAGAAAAAACTTCTACGTACCGGTACACGGGATTTACCGAACGCTGCGGTTCTAATCGAGTCCATCGAGTCAAATCAAACGAAGAACAAACCAAAAACCAAAAAACATCCATCCGAAAGATCGCAACGTACCATACCGGTAGGCAAGCAACAAACACAAGAAGTTGGTTCCCTCACATCAACGGACGAAGCGACTCGACACGACTCTACACGACGAAACTGCAACGACGCGATACTTCAGGGCACAAACCATGGTGGACTTGGTGCCGGGTGGTTTGTCCCGGACGTGCGGCCACCGGCAGCGGTGGGTCCCTGCGTTCTTGTGGTGGGTCCTCCTGCTCTCGTCCAGCGGGCGGCTACCACAGCGGCACCACACGCAAGAGGGACCACCGCGGGGGAAAGGGAGACCCCCGGCCGTTTCCGTTTCCACACCGGGGACGGGCCCCTGTTCCGTCCTCGGGTTTTCGGCCACCCCGGTGGCACCGGCCCGCCGGAACCGTGCCTCCGGTGGCGATCGCAGACGCGGGGGCCGCTCCGGGGGATCCCTTTCCCGCGTCCACGGTTCGTTCCGGCCGCCGCCGACGGTGCTCCCGGGGAGCCCGGCCGGGGAAGACCCGGGGGTCGAACCGGAAAGGGCCACTGATACCCGCATCGAAGAGGTCTCGATCGAGTTCTGCCCGGGGTGCCGCTGGGGGCCGAGGGCCTTTTGGACGGCCACGGAGCTCCTGTCGGTCCACGGAAGCGAAGGCGGAAGCACGGACACGGACGCGGGCAATGCTTGTGCTCCGGGCCGGATCGGGGGCGTTTCGGTGGTCCCGGCGGATCCCGGGGTCTATCGGATCACCGCCCGGGTCGGGGGCAGCGAGGGGTGGGTCCTCTTGTGGGACCGGGCCACCGAGGGGGGGTTTCCCCCGATGGACGGGAGAGCCCTCGCGGAGCGGGTGGACCGGTGCCTCGCGGGGGACCCCTCCTTCCCGCCCCTTGCCCCCCCGGAGGATGGCGAAACGTCGGCGCCGGTGGCCGTCGTCTCGTACTGCCCGGGGGGCCTCCCGGGCTCGGGCCTGCGCAGGGCCTCCTACTACGGTCAGGAACTCCTGGCGACCTTTGCCACCGGGGAGCTGGCCGGGGTCTCCCTGCGGCCGCACGCCGGCGATCCCGGGAACCTCAGGGTCGGCCTGGAGGGGAGGGACGACGGAGATCCAAACCGGTGGCTCTGGGACGCACGGCTACACGGCGGGGCCTTTCCCCAGCCCAAGGACCTCAAGCGGTTGGTCCGGGACGTGGTCGATCCCCGGAAGGACCTGGGGCACTCGGACGTCAGCCGCGGGGCCGGGGGAGCGGCGGCATCCGGGCCCGCCATGGAAGCAGACGGCGGCGAGTGCCGTTCCTGCGAGACCAGCGACGCGGGCAGCAATAGCAACGGCGAAAACGAAAACGACGATGGCGACGACGAACACAACGACGACGACGGCAACAGCAACGATGGATTCGGCTTCATGGACGACGACGATGCCGAAGAAGCGCGGCGGTATTTTGGGGTCATGTAGCACGAGCCGTGGCCTCGGTGTCTTTCCAACAATACACTACGACGCGATGCGATAAACACATTAGTTGAAAATGATCATAGTAAATCAAGCACTCATAGTAAATCATCAAAATTGCGTTCTATCGATGGTTCTTAGTTCGTTTGCTGTGCTTTCATATACAAAATTGTGTGGTTCGATTCCTTCCGGCTTCACCTTCTTCGGATCCGCGCCTTGCCTCGCATTGAACGGTCGGGAGCTGGGGGCAATCAGACCTCTCCAGGGATGGAAGGGTGTTGTCCGGGGATTGCTGCTGGTGGTGGTGTTGCTGCTGCAGTTGTTTCTGATGCTGCTGTCACTATTGGTGTTTCTGCTGTTGCTGGTGCTGCAGTTGCTCTTGGTGTTTCTGTTGATGTTGATGTTGATGTTGCTGGTGTTTCTGCTGCTGCTGTTGGTGTTGGTGTTGGTGTTTGAGCTGATGCTGATGCTGTTGTGCGCGTTGCCTCAACCCCTGGCAGTTTGGTAGCTGCGTTTAGTTTTGTGCCTCCGTTAGATTTCCTTGTTCCTAACCCGTCCCCTAGGACCTCGAGCAGATCCCGGTGGACCAGGGTTTCCACCAACGATAGTTTTGCTTCCTTTCCGTAGGCTTCCAGCACGGTGATCTGTTCTTCCGGGGTCCTGCACAGGTAGCGGACCAGGAGATCCGCGACGCCCGCCTCGAGGGCGCGCTCCGGGGAGGCCTCGATCTGCCCCCTCGCAAATCCTACGATCTGCCGGTACTCGGCGGGCCGGAGGCAGAGGAGCGGCGGTCGGCCGGCAGAACGGTTGTGGCACGCGGATTGCGTCGCCTCGCTGCCGATTGGTGGAACCCTTGCCCATTCCGACAAGAGCTCGGTCAGGAACGACACGGTGGCCCCCAGCAGTTCCGTCTCGGTCCCCTTCCCCGGATCCCCACACGCCTGGATGCATTTCACGACAAGGTTTTCCCGGAAGATGGCCCTCCGAAGGCAGCTCGCGGTGTCCCGCGGGGTTTTGTGCGGTGGCCTCACGGCCTTTAGGGAGTGCGAGAGGGCGGAAACCACCCTGCAGTGGATCTGCCGCAGGAAGCGCTCCTCCGCTTCGGTCCCCTGTCCGCTCGGGGGCTCGTCGCCGCGACAGCTGCCACAGGGGTACCCGTTCAGCGCGTCCAGCGCATCGATGGCGGAATCGACGAAGATCCCGGGAAAGGCCTGCTGCCGCTGCCGATCGTCGTGCCCGCGGTCTTCGGAGGACGCGACGGACTCGAAAATCCTCCACGTGCTCGTGAGAACCTTCCATTCCAGGGTCTTGATTCGTTCGGGGGCCGAGCAGAGGACGACCCTGTCCAGATAGGCTTCGTTGAGGGCAGCCAAGGTGTCCATGCCGCCGCGGTTCAGTATCTCGGTCGGGGGACAGAATTCCCCTCCATGGTCCCACTCGCAGCAAGTCTCCAGCACGAAGCAGAGACCGGCCGCGATGGAGGGATCGTTGGTGCGGGTCTCCTCTTCTTGTTTTCCTTCTTCCGGGGGTATCTTCTCGACTACGATGCCACTATAGGATTCGTCCTCGCTGTCTCCTTGCTCATCCGAACTTTCGCATTCCGTTTCGATCGTGGTTTCAAGAAACTTGAGAAGGCAATGGATTCCATCGAGCTTGTAGAACTCCCTCATCACGGAGCAAGCATTCTCCCTTTTCTGGAAGATGCTGTTTTCTTGGTGGTCTCTGTTGCCAGACTCCGAACAAAGGTTTTGCTGTCTGCTGATTTTGGTCATCCACAGGACAAGCGTCTCTACAGCCTCCTTGGCTCTAGCAAAATTGGTGCGGTCGTCGATATCCCAGAGAATTTTGGAAAAGAAATTCGGACCGTACCCGGTTTTGGAAGCGTCGTGGTCTTCGCCAAGATCGATGGCGCGTGGAATTTTGTGCGGCCTGGCGGCGGGCTGTGACGTGCTCTCCGCAGCAGGAGTCACCATCGATGACAATGCTCCCGTCTTTGCTGTTGGCGGTCTCAAAAATGAATAGTGTCGATCCGGAAATGCTCTTTCGCTGCCAGAAGGCTTCAAGGAATTGTTCCACATGCACCGTCGTCGGGGCTGGTGGAAAGAACGGTCAAATTTCTGCTGGAGTGAACTTCCTATTCATACTGATAGGAATCGGTCAGTTGCATTAGTGTTCAGTAGTCACTGTAACAGTACCGGTACTTCACTCTGATCGTCATTAGTATAAATATTTTTTTCTTTATCAACTGCTTCAATGATATTTCGATAGAAAAAAACGAGAGCGAACCTGGCGCTTGCTAGCAAAATTGTATGCCCATACAGGAGAAAGAAGAAGAACGATTCGCTTAAGAATTAAATTCGTTCAAGACTTCAGGAAAAAAATTCGCTGTTCTGTTGAGTTTTACGGCAGTAGTACATTAAAAATTTATAAGCCTTGTCGCGGGGTATATAAGTAAATTATCTATTTTTGAGAACCATGACATTCTCATGCCTGACTATAATTTTTTCTTTCGAGTAGAAAATATCAAGAACGGTTCATTGGAGAATATTTCTTGGCTGTTTTGTTCGGTTTCACAGCGCTATGACACAAAAAAAAATAGGTCTTCGCGGGGTAGTTAAGTAATTTATCAATTTTTAGAATCGTGACATTCGCATGACTGACTATCGTTTTTTCTTTCGAGTAAGAAATATCTAGAAAGATTCATTTAAGAAAATTCTTGGCTGTTCATTACACTGTTACAATAAGTCCTATCGCGGGATATGTAAATAATTTAATAATTTTCAGAACCTTCTGTGAGCTGATAGCGCTCTATCAAAAGATGACATCCGCGTGCCTCATCATCGTTTCTTCTTTTGAGTAAAAAATACTATTTTCATTTGAAGAATCAACTTATGACCCATTGAAATAATCGTCAATTTATCATCCTTCATTACTACGAGTTTCGTAACAATTGAAACCGGACTCCACCAGAGAGCAATAAGTAGGGTAGTAATTTCAAGTTCTAAACTTTGATTTGAAGTCATTAACTTTTGCTCGTACATCATGTACCAGGTTCTACTGAGCTTGTTTTTAAAATGACTAAGGTTCGAGGTGATTCAATTATGAATCCTGGCCTTTCAATCATGAATGCCATCCAAAAACTAGCTCAGTAAAACCTGGTAGACTTTCTACCGAGACATTTTGAAGTTCATAACTTCAAATCGAAGTTTAGAACTTGAAATTATTACTTTTTGTTCATATTCAATTGAAAAATCCTTACCTGTCGCAGCACTAACAGTAAAGTCTCACCCATCAGTTCCCACCAGTGCTCACTACTATAAGAATATCCTCACTAGTAAGTAGTAGTAATAAAGGTTATTCTGTAGTAAGCACCACATGGAATTTTCCACTAACCTTGGATATTATATCCCCAGTACTAGTAGTACTAGTAGTACTAGTACAGATAATATATCTCCAGCAGTGAGGACCACAAATAGAAATATTTTGGAAGGAGGGGTACTAGAGTGGAAGATATAAAGATAGGACAGTCAGGGAATTACCAATAAATTGCCAGTGCTACTTGTAAAACAACAACAATTGAAATAGCATTGATTGGTCAGGCATTAGGAGCGCCTCATAAAGTAGCACTTTCATAGTGGAAATATTTTTGTGAAATGAACCAACAAAATTTTCTTACCGACAACAAAATCTTGACCCCCAAAACACATGCAACTCAATTCCCCCCACCCCTTGCTAGCCTTGTTTCATTCCCGATATTATATTTTTCGTTCAATAATTGCAAATACGACAAACTCTGTACCACCCTACCTACTACTAGTCTTGCTGGATTATACTTTTGCCAAAAACAGTTCTCATCCTCAAATATGTTTACATAATGCTTGCTTGATTAGTGTGTCTTTGACTTGTTGGATCCTTTTGGTGGGTGCTTTAACAACTATTTTGTGGTTGCTCTCGCTTCTTGGTGCAGAATCCCAACCTGAAGGTGGCCCAAAAAGCCTAATGTACTTGGAAGAGGTGGAAGTACATGCGATTCTTTATCAGGTTGTTGTTGTCTCCTTTACTGTGGTGGAGGTTTTTGTCTACAGTGCTGACAAAAAGTACCATCATCTTGTCAAGGTTGGTAACATTGTCAGCGTCCACTTTCATAACTTCCTTGATGCTACCAGAATATTTGAGAAACTCTTCCATTCCTACTAGTAGCTAATATCATCAACTCAGCGCATATATAAGGCAGTCAATTTCTTCTTCAGTCCTGTTGCGCTTGTTTTCTTGGTTGCCCCTTGTTCTCAATGACATTAGGATCTGCCTACCTTCAGCAGAAAAAAAGCATCAGCATTTGTATGTACAACATTCCCATGTATTGATTGCCTGCCTTCTTCACTGTGTGAATGGATTCAGAAGTTTGTTATAGGAAAGTTGTGATCAGATTGTCTTTGAACAAGAGCCATTTAATAGCTAGCAACGCTGTCCATTGAATTGAGTAACGGAGCATTCATTCCCAAAAAGTCCTCTCAGAACGTTCCTGCTGCTCTATTTGCATATCCAAGTTGGTGCATGTGAAGCCTCTTGTTCCAGATAAGAAAAGTCATTGGGGGTTTATCGTATAGGCTTGGCCAGCCAATGTACGGTTTAAACCGTGGATTAGCGGCCATCTAATTACCGTGTAACGACTTGTGGGATTAAAAATTAGCTTGTACTGCAGTGTACAGCCAGGCACATGCTGTGCATGCTGAATTTTTGAGTCCCACCAAAATAGTTTTGCTCCCACGTGCAAAATAGTTTCGCTCGCATGTGCACACTGTAGGCCTAGTACAAGTGAAATTTTTAATCCCATGAGTCATTACACGGTAATTAGATGGCCCAAAATCCACGCACAGTACAAAAAACACGTAGGGGATTAAGAGAGGTTCAACTCACTCGAACAGCCATAACTTTTTCCCCAACGGACGCTTAAGTATGATAAGCACATGGTTGAAAAGAGAATTCAAAGAGCTTTCTAATGGCGTGGGGGAGTACGGCGTACGACGAATATTGACTGATATTCGTTTACGTATATATTGAATTGCTAATGTACGGTTTAAACCGTGCTTTTTTGCTTGGCCCAGCCTATACGATAGTCTCATAGCACTGGAAGATTGTTGACCTTCTGTTGCCTCTACATCTAGTAGTGACGTAATATGACCTGCCTCAGCAGGAATATCAGGCTCCTTCAATGTGTTTGGCCTGATATTGAGATCTTGGGCAATTGCAGTGATGCCATAGTATTCTAGTATTGGTAGATCAATAATGGCTGCAAAGGTTGCCATGTGTGGAGTACCATTCAAAGGACATTGGATCTTTCTGGTTAGGGAAGGAAAGGTTATCCTCCATGATTAAAGTGGTATTTCTAAGTAGGGAGTGCAAAGCTTTGCTAATCAACCACACGTAAATTTGTTTTCAACCACAATCAGATGGATCAACTGAAGATTTGTAGCAACAGTCAATGACAATGGGTTTAAACACACCACCTTTGATTTCATAACAGGAGCAGTAACTGGGCCACTTTATGTGTTTGTCAAACAAAATTAAAGGGTCATGTGAGTATGGAAATTTCCTGGGTCAAACACAGAGGTTGCAAAATCCAACAAACCTCCAGGGAGCAATCATCATCGTCTCTAAGATGATGTACAAGCTGTCTAGGTGTGGCAACACCATCAAGTTTCCTTCTAGTTGGAGAATAAAGTATGGTCTCTTGTATGTTTTGTTCTGTTCTTCTGTCTAGTAACTCCAATTGGCAATACACTCTTAGCTTGGGGGAAAGCCCCATAGCAACTCAGGTGAGAGGGTGGTGAAGGGTAGTACTGTGATTGTGGCATTCTTGACACAATGGAAGTGAATCGACATGTTGCAAAAAAAATAGAGAAAAAGGTATCAGTATTGACACCACAATATTCTTTTTTTCTCTACCCAAATGATTCTTTCTTGTTGGACAACCAATACATGTTATTGTGCATGTAGTCAGAATTCTGTTGTCACAAAGCAAAGACTATATTTTTAGATGAGATAAAATAAATATACTCAGATTTAAAAACAACATGAGCCAGATATAATGGGGTTGAGTATTGCATGATAATAGAGGGTCCTTTGGCAAGCAATCACATGTCACCATGGAAATGGTTTATGTCAAGAATGTCAAGTTAACATTCTGAATGTTAGAAGCATAGGCTATGTAGAATTGAGTAGTACTGCAGATTTTGATTCAAATTATCATCCTGAATGCTCTGCTTAACAGCCTAAATGTTAGCAGGGGGAGGCGTCCTCTTCTTCCTCTTTCTTAGGAAACAAGACCAAAATTATTGATTTTTGATGCTAGCGCACTACCAGATGAAGATTGTGGTTAATACTAGTAGGATCTACACTATGGTAACATGCTAACATTAAATATGTTAAATTGACATTCTGTACGTTAAAACTAATATTTGGAATGTTAAATTAATGTTCCCAATGCCTCAATACAAGTAATTTCAAATGTTGTTTTGCTACCCAAAAAATAACAATTGAAATTAGTGTCAACATTCCATGTGTTAGCAGAGTAGGCCTACACAGAATAAGTACTACTAGACCTGTTGGGGGGCAGACCAGCAGGCCCAGTAGCTGTTCAGCAGTTTCCAATATCACTTCCTTGCTTGCTGGGATGGTCTCTCTTAGGATTCAGTGCAAGTACCAGGAGGAGCCTTATAGAAAACAGCAAATCAAGGGAGTAGCCTGCAGATTTTAGTCAACATTGCATGGTTTGATCACTTGTTCAAAATTGTACTGTGGCCTACTACAGGTACCCACCAAAGCTTCCCTCCAGCATGCTACTAGTACTATTCTTTTCTTCATTCTAAAAAACTCACTTCAAAGCAACCAATCATGGGAATAGCTCTGTTTCAAGGACTTCTCCTCACTCTTTTCTAATGAAAGTGGTATCACTAGATTGCTCTCTTCAAATGTTGATTTAGCAAGCCTTGAACTAGAGAAAAGAACCCAATAGAAGCCCTTATTTTGTTTGATAAGTGTTACTTGTTTTTCTTACAACAACTGCTTCTTTTTTGTTGTTGGCAGCAATCAGATCTTTTGCTCCTCTGTAATACAATGAATACACAAGAGAGAGAAGCAAGAGATGGTCTCCTAAAGGTGGTACTAAATAGACCTCTGGCAGGCCATGCAGATCATTTGCTTTCAGATAATTCATCCTCAGCAGAGGATTCAAAATATGGTAGAAATCATAGTTTTCCACTGTGAGAGCTCCTCCACAGTTATATCATACTGTACCAACAACTTTGTAGTTGGGAATCCTTTCTGTCTTTTTGTGCTCTGTCCCAGAAATTGTGTTGTTTGCTACTTCTATGGTTCAAAGGACTTACATTTGTACGAAGTACTACGTACTAGAATCTACATTAGAAGTATGTAATGTTTACGTACTGTACGCTACGCATCGTACTTCGTACTTAGCTTTCATTCTTGTAATCGTGATTTTAACGGTATCAGTTAATTCAGTTTACGACATCACTCCTCGTCGCGTATCGTATCGTACTGTACAATCGTACTGTACAACATGTGCCGTAGCATAAGTGACATTCTGTAGATATGGGACATAAATCGGACCGTACGTAGCAGTAAGGCTATGAGGATAACACTGGATGCAAAGACCGAAAAAACGGCTCAATCGACAGGCACCGTCCCAACACGAAATAATCATAAGAATGATAATCATCAGAGCATCATCGAAAGAAGCTTGATTGGTTTCTCCATTTCTGTTAATTGATTGATCCACAGAATCACTGTTTGATTCCAATAGAAACAACAACAACAACAAAAACCGACAACACCCGACAAGAAAAAGCGGTGATGGTGGGGGTCGTGGCGAACACGAAGGCAAACAAAAACACAAACAGAAACACGCGTGCCGAAGCGGCAGCAGCAGAAGCAGAAGAAATCGCGAACGGGCACCCCCTGAGCGGCGAGGGGAGCAACAACAAGATGACCCTGTGGACGTGGCCCTGGAAACCTTCTGGCGCTCGGCCGGTGACGCGGAAGCGACTCGCTCGCACCAAAATGAACAACAAAAGCGTCTTTTCGATCGAGGGGTGCTGCCGGCCGCTGCTGGCAATCGCGGTGGCCCTGATCGTTCTGGACCAGATCCTTCTGGACGGTTCCTACTACAGAAGCAGCGGTAACGAATACCACCTCCGGATCGAAAAGATAGAAGCGATCGAACCGACACGGTCCGCTCCGTCCGAGCCGGATCCGAACACCTATCAAAAGCGGCCCGGGGATTTGTCGTTGGCGGTCCTGGTGGCCGGATCGACGCACCGGTTCCTCTTTGACTCCTTTGCGGAGCGCGTAGCGGGCGGGAGGCGAGAGACCGCGAGCGGAAGGAAAAAGGTGCGCATCGACTACTTTGCGGTCCTCACGCTGCAATCGGGGCCGGCCTTTCGGCAGGACCTCGGGTACATGGGGCACCTGGCGGGCCGCGACGCGCTCTTTGACGACGTACCGGGCTTTGCGGGGGAGACAAAGAGCAACACCGAGCGCGACAGCCAGAGCAAGTTCTACGAATACTTTGTCGAATCCACCCGCCACAAAATGCTCGAAGCCATGAACGGGGCCCTGGACAGGGCAGTGGACAAACGCAAAGACAAATCCAACAACGAAGACAACAACACACTCCTACAAGCGGACACGCCCACGACGCGGATCCGTGCCCTGCGGCTGCTGGAGAATCCCATCGAGTACGACCCCGTGCTGGATCCGGTCAAGTCGTCCCTCAAGCAAAAGCTCGGATCGGGCGACCCCGATTTCGACTTTTTCAAATTTTTCCCGATGAAGGACTATCGTCCGTCGGCGTTGAAGCGGAACAGGAACGGAAACAAAAACATTATTCGCCTGTTTCTGGCACTGGAATCGCTGTGGAAGAACGAGTTCCTGTCGTACGAGAAAAGCCTGCAGGAGGCGCAGGAACCGCCGCCGGATCGGGCCGACCACGGTGGCGGGGAGGCAGCACCACCGGTCTACGACTACGTCCTGATTGTGCGGGACGACGCCCTGTGGCTCGACGATTTCGATCTGGAGGCCGTGATCGCCACGGACCCGGACGCCGACGCCTATGTCCTCAGCTGTGACGCCCGCCAACCACAAATGCTACCCCCGGAGATCAACGACCACGGGATCCTGATCAAGCGGAGCAAGGCGTCCGTGGTCGGGGAGTACGTCTCGTCTATGGCGAGCCTCGACCTGAAGGACTGCCACGACTCGGTCGAGGAGTATGTGGGAAAGCAACGGGGCTGCAACAGCGAGATGGTCCTGAGGCACGTTCTGGAGAAAAACAACGTCAGGGTGAAGCTTGTTCCCCAGTCGGTCCTGCCCTTTGAGCGGGCGGTCCGGATTGAGGACGAGGGAGGTAGCAAGTACTACTGCTACCACAAGTTCTGCCAGAGCATCGAGCGGCCGCTGGAGCTGCCGGGAGAGATCAAGAATTGCAAGGAGCTGGACTTTTGAGCAGAATAGAGCGAACCAAAACAATCCCGGCGAAACGAATCGAGACCGTCCGACTGTTTCGGCGTTGGCGCTTCGTGGCGAACACACCATGCGAGTAATTCACTAGCAACACGAAGATACCGCAGCGAGGAGCAGCTAGTCGTATAGATCGTCGGAATGGTTGTATACAAAAGTTGGCGATTCGTGGGTAGATTAAAAATGTAGGCAATAGATAAATCGGATGCCTTTGACGAACGAGGCTCCGAAGATAGAGTCTGTGTCCATCTAATCACTGATTCAACCAGCAATCCTTGTGAACCTTGAAGTAGCTTGCTCTTGTTTCCAACTATTGCAAGCTCGATGTCGATGCTTTGTACCCACCATAGATCGTCAGTGTTGACGTCCCTGGCTTGCTGTTCTTCCGCAGATGTCTTTCGCATTCGCAGTTTGTTGTTCCTTGTTCCGCAGCCAGAGTTATCTTCCGACTTATTCTGCTTGCTTACCCTAGCGCTTAAAAAAGAAAAACCTTAATATTATATTTAACCTCGTGAACTAGAAGAGGCACTAGGAAGGCCAGAACCATAGCTTCACCTGACTAAGGGGAAGRATGCTTCTAGCTGCACCGAGGGGCGGCGCCTCCCTCCGAGGAGTGTTTATGGAGGAGCGACCAAGTTTTATGCACACTGATAGGCCAATCAAGGCCCAGGGCTCGACTCAGAGGACAGAAAACAGTCACACTGCCAAGCTAGGAAGATGGGACAACCACTCCCCATCTCTTAGGCAAGTCGAAGACGCAGTGATCAAGGAGATGTTGGTTCACAGTTTGGATGGATGAGAACCATGCCATTACCATTTCGAAGGAGCACTGCCCAGCCCGTAGGTTGGGGGTCTCAATTCCCAACCTGTAGGCAAGGTCCCACGCATAGTGATCAACGAAATGGGTGCCACGCACACCGGCAAGCMAATTAAGGCAAGTTCCGACCAGTGTGTGAGAGCACATGTAGTCAAAAGGAAAAAATCAAAAGAAAAAAGAAAAGCCAAAAAGAAAAAGAAAAAAGGGAAGTATCACACTTCTTTCACCGGGTCTTGGTTGAAGGGGGAGAATACTGGTGTTGGTGCTGTTGCTTTCTGGCACGGAGGTCGGAAACAACAGCAATTGTGACCGGAAAGCACTGGGGCTTCCGGTCCTTGAGAACTGGGGTTGGATCCAGCTGAKGCAAACTGTGCTCAACTGGAGTAACTGGGGTTGGTGTCATTGCATTCCGGCACTAATGTCGGAACCAACAACAACCTGACCGGAACACTCTTCCGGTCCGGAAGAAAATACTGGAACTGATCCTGGAAATGCATGGAGATGCTGGGGAATCTTCTTTAAAACTGAGTATGATGTAGCATATACTCCACGCATTGTTCTTCAAAGGTCATGGTTGAATACTGGCTGGGTGTGGTGTTATTGCATTCCGACAGGAGTGTCGGACACAACAACAGTCGTGACCGGAAGCACTGCTGGGGCTTCCGGTCCTTGAGAACTGGGGAGGAATCCAGCTGAGGCAAAGCACTCAGCTGGAGAAAGAATACTGGGATTGATACTGATAGAGTATTGACTGGGATGGGGTTGGTGTTATTGCATTCCGGCATGAAAGCCGGAAACAACAACAACAACGTCGTGACCGGAATTCTTCCGGTCCGTAAAAGACTGGAACTGATACTGGAACTGCATGGAGATGCTGAGGAATCTTCTGAACTAAGTATGATGTATGATATAGCATATAATCCATGCGTTGTTCTTCACGAGGTCTTGGTTGAATACTGGGGGATGGGGTTGGTGTTATTGCAGTCCGGCACGGAKGCCGGAAACAACAACAACAACGTCGGGACCGGAATCTTCTTCCGGTCCGTAAAATACTGGAAATAGACCTGCATGGAGATGCTGGGGAGTCTGCTTGAAACTGATGTATGATATACTCCAGGCTAGTTCTTCAATAGGTCTTGGTTGAATACTGGGGGCTTGGTTTGGTGTTATTGCATCCCGACACAAATGCCGGAAACAACAACAATCACGTCGTGACCGGAATCTGCTTCCGGTCCGTAAAATACTGGAACTGTATGGAGATGCTGGAGAATCTTCTTGAAACTGAGTATGATGTATGATATACTCCAGGCTTGTTCTTCACTAGGTCTTGGTTGAATACTGGTGGGGGCTGGGGTTGGTTTTATCGCATTCCGGCACGAATACCGGAAACAACTTCAATACCAAAAGACACATCACCTGTACTTCTGGAGGAACAGGGGGGGATCCAGCTGGGGCAAACTAACACCACCAGCTGGTGGATATCGATATACTTGGAATAGGCTTGGTTACATTGCTTAGATCCTTGTTGAATGGAGCCAAGGAGGAGGATTCTCCCCTTCCAAAGGGGATGTCACCATGGTTCGGAAGTCAGAAGGAGCCTGTCAGGTAGGAATGTACGTAGGAATCAGTAGGAATTCTAGGTGATAATTTTCATAAGCGAAGTGTAATTTCATGCGTTTGAAAAAATTCAATTTGAAAATTATTACCCTAGCGCTTAGTTATTCTTGCATGATTGAAAAGCTGAAGGCTCATCATCCTATTGTTCGTAGTTGCTTGATATTTGCTTTAAAATTTTCAAATCGAATTTTTTCAAACGCGCAAAATTACACTTCGATTATGAAAATTATCCTCTAGACTTCCTATATCATACATCATACTCAGTTTTACAGAAGATCCCCAGCATCTCCATGCAGTTCCTTTTCCAGTATTTTCTGGACCGGAAGAAGATTCCGGTCAGTTTGCTGTTGTTTCCGGCATTCCTGTCAGAAAGCAATAACACCAACCCCAGTCCCAATCAAACCCAGTTGAGTGCAATTGCCTCAGCTGGATCCATCCCCAGTYCTCAAGGACTGGAAGCCCCAGCAGTGCTTCCGGTCACAATTGTTGTTGTTTCGGGCATTTGTGTCAGAATGCAAGAACACCAACCCCAGCCCCCAGTATTCAACCAAGCTCTAGTGAAGAACAAGCCTGGAGTATATGCTATATCATACATCATACTCAGTTTTACAGAAGATCCCCAGCATCTCCATGCAGTTCCTTTTCCAGTATTTTCTGGACCGGAAGAAGCTTTCGGTCAGTTTGTTGTTGTTTCTGGCATCCGTGCCGGCATGCAATAACGCCAACCCCAGCCCCCAGTATTCAACCAAGCTCTAGTGAAGAACAAGCCTGGAGTATATGCTATAYCATATATCCTACTCAATTTAGAAGATTCCCCAGCATCTCCATGCAGTTCCTTTTCCAGTATTTTCTGGACCGGAAGAAGCTTCCGGTCAGTTTGTTGTTGTTTCTGGCATTTGTGCTGGCATGCAATAACACCAACCCCATCCCCTAGTATTCAACCAGCCCCGTTACTCCAGCTGAGTGCTCTGCCTCAGCTGGATCCAACCCCAGTTCTCAAGGACTGGAAGCCCCAGTGCTTTCCGGTCATGATTGCTGTTGTTTCTGACCTCTGTGCCGGAAAGCAACAGCAACACCCCCAAGTTTATTTTACCCTGTGACCAGCAGTGACAGAAGAAGTGATTTATTTGTTCCAGTGTCTTCTTCAAGAAGACAATACTCTGACAGCTGCTCCTTAGGCTGGGCTTAGCTGTACTTTGGTGGTGAAAGACGTATGATGGTTCCTTTTTTCTTTTCTTTTTGGCTTTTTTTCTTTTTGACTACATGTGTCCTCACACACTGGGTGGAACTTGCCTTAATTGGCTTGGCAGTGTGTGCGGCACCCATTTCGTTGATCACTATGCATGGGAACTTGCCTACAGGATTGGGAATTGAGACCCCCCAACCTACKGGCTTGGCAGTGCTCCTTCGAAATGGTAATGGCATGGTTCTCATCCATCCAAACTGTGAACCAACATCTCCTTGATCACTGTGTCTGGAAACTTGCTTACGGGTTGGGGATTGAAGCCCCCCATCCTACGGGCTTGGCAGTGTGACCCCATTGTTTTTATGTCCTCTGAGTCTAGCCCTGGGCCTTCATTGGCCTATTAGTGTGCATAAAACTTCTTGGTCGCTCCTCCACAAAACCTCCTCGGAGGGAGGCGCCGCCCCTCGGTGCAGCTAGAAAAATTCTTTCTAACAAAAGCTATGGTTCTGGCCTTTCTAGTGCCTCTTTTAGTTCACAAGGTTAAATATGATATTAAGATTTTTTTTGGGATATTCGCTTTACAATAAAATTATGGGTATAATTATGTTGACAAAATATTTCGATTTCGATGTTTTCATCACCTCTCGTGGAATCTCTCCATGATTGGTTCAAACACAAATCATTTGTTAATCCATTCGGTTCAAATCTTTTAGAGTCTCGTAACGTACGAGGTTGGGGTGTTAAATATCGCGTGCGATTTATAACAGGTTATGAGTCAAACTTTTGCGAGCTATTTTTAGTAACCAGGAGCAAGCTTTGCATGCTTGTTAAGGATAGGAAAGCACCAATCAGATTTAGAGAATCCGTCGGCTGGAAAGGGTTTTCTTTTGTCTTTCCAACGATGTGCACATTACTGGGTGTTCTTTCAGAAAACCTTTTCGTGCTTGTTGATTTCTCTCCGCACCAAAAATTGCAAAAAACTCTCATTTATTCAACCTCAACATAGGGACCTGTCACCTCTTTAGTTCAACACCATAACCAACACTATCAGCGCGATTGACATACAAGACCTCTTCATTACATCAAGGGGAAGGGGTCCGTGAAGTAGCGGATCAATCGAACGAGTGGTTTAGGAGCAAAAGGATACCAAAGCTACAGCGAAAATAACGTCGAAAAACAGCAACGACGAACTCCCCAGTGTAAATAAAAAGAAACCATCTTCCCATCAATAAAACACACAACCAGTGTCCGTAACCTCCTTAATACATCAAAGGAGACTTGATCACGAAGTATCGTTGCAATCGACCGGGTATTTGGAAAGAAAAGCAGTTTTTGCTGTATTTTGAGTGTTTTTTGGCTCAAATGAGCAATAACAACACCAACAGCTGCAAAAGCAACACCACAGCAGCCATTGGATCGGTTCCTAACGGATACGCAGTCCGGCCGTGTCCTAGGACTGTTGCTGCTGATCTGAACCTATTCAATATGAGGGACCAGGGGTTGCATTGCACTGTGAAAGCAGCTATGGAATTTGCAGGCTT